AAATGGGGGGGGGGGGGAGGTGCTGCAGCTGCTGTCACCACGCACAGCCCTGATGGGTAAGCCCAGAGCTGGCGCAGAGCTCAAGCTGACAGCGGGGCCGGGTTACAAGCTGGTGCTGAGCGCAGGGAAAAGCAGCCCCTCACCCGCCCTGTGGCTAGCACCCCGCACTGCAGCCACTTGCAGTCCGCATGGGGCTGCCTGTGCCTGCTCCAGATAGCCCCGTGTGGGCTAAGAGCCTGCAGCAGGGAGCGCCGGCCATGGGGCAGGCGAGGGGTCACTTTTCCCCGCGCTCAGCACCAGCTTCTTCCCTGCCAGTAAGCAGGGGGTCAGGGCTGTGTGCTGCCCCCCACACCTGTAAGCGGGGCTGGGGGGCACTGGGAGTGAGTGGGCGGGGAGACAGCAGGAGCACGGGGCCTGCACCGGTGCCCTGGGGCCAGTGCCTGCGGGGCCCATAGCAGGGTGGCAGGAGCACGGGGTCCCAGTCGGCAGGCTCTATGGAGCCAGGCCAGCTCCCTTCTCTCCCTGCTGGTGAAGCCCAGCCTGGCTCCACAGACCCCTGCCAGCCTGTGCCCCACTTTGGGCCCCCCTGGTGCTGGCCCTAGGACATTGGTCCCAAGATGGTGACCAGGGGGTGGGGCTCCCTATGCAGCTTATGACAGCCTGCCAAAACAAGGTAAGCGGCTCTCCGCCCAAAGTAATTGCCTGCCCCTGGACTAGAGTAACTAACTCTGAAGTATAACTCCCTTGCCTTGGACAACCACCTTTCAAAAAAGTAAAGAAGTCCCCATCGATGCAGGAAAGTTTAAATCTTTGTCATATGACATGTTCTGAGTCATGCTGAATTTTCCTTTGTATCTTTAGGTTGTTGGTAGGTTTCTACATGATTTTTAACTTTAATTTTCAGACAGCTTTGCCTTTCTTCCCCTCCCTTCCCCTCTTTTTGTACAAAAATATTTTATTACTATAAAAAGGAGAAAGAAAATTACAATTTCTCCGTCATTTGGAGAAATAAAACAAGTGCTATTCCTTTGAAAGTCCACAGCTGAATTACAAACCTGCTATAGTAACATAAAAAACCCTGTTTGTAGATTGCCACTGCAACATAATAAGCACTTACTTAGCAATTTATTCAAGTCTGCACATGCACTTCTTAGAAAATAAGAAGGAATACAATAACTGTAATATGTTATAACCAGCTAATTGGGGTAATCAAAACTTGTCATGCACTTTTATATGCAATTTCCATTCCCGAGGCACCTCTCTTCCCTCTTATATAAAACCAAGGCAATAAGTCTTCTTTACCCCCATTTAAAACTGTTTTCAAACTGATACAGACCAAGGAAATATCCTTTAACTCTTTGACGCAGCTCCCTCCATTGGTTCAATCCACGGAACAAATTGTCAAGGTACCTTCATTTCTTAGTTTCTCTCAAAACTTTCCATGATCACACCCTTCCCTCCAAAGCAATGAACAAGCCTGATACAAATAACACATCACCTGTGTAAGTAAACACAGAAGACAACACAAACCCAGTGGTTTATATACTGCCTTAGGACCCTACAGGTCTAACTCCATTCTCTTTTCTAGTGAAGGGAAGGGGAAACTTCAATGAGTGTGAAGTTAGGCTGGCACCAAGTACTTTTGAAAATTCCAGTGCAGGACATTTTAAAATTCCACATGTAAATAAAAATGTAAAGAAATGGAGCAAAGCTGTAAAAAGAGCAGGAATTCCATGAGAACTAGCTAAAAAGACAAGATAAATGCATTAGGAAGCATCCAACATCTTTCCCAACTATGCTGCTGGTCCAACAATGGATATCACAAACATATGCCTCTTGTTATATTTCGTGGACCATCATGACTACACCTGATCTCACACCTAAAATGAAAATAAGCCAAGGCAGAATCAGTCACCTTATTTCAGTAAGCAAAACAAAAAAAATACTGTAAACCATATAAAAACTTGAACAAATTGCTAAATATATAAAAATGTCACGCCCAAGATTATGGCATTGTGAAATCTGGAGATGCAACTTTTCCCAATTCCCCCACCTTCCTAAAATAGGCAAGTAATCTAATGCAAATGAGGAATCTAATTCACCAAGCAAGTTGATGCTTATTAAAAAAACATTATAGAAATACACTTAGTGTTTTACAGTGTAAGTCCTTGAACTGCTTAGAGCAGGTTTGTCCAACATGCGGCCCGCCAAGCCATTTTATCTGGCCTGCGGCGGTGGCAGTGCCACTGCTGCGGAGCAGGGAGCCATGGCAGCAGCGGGGCAGTGGTGGCGGTGTGGAGCTGCGGCGCGGAGCGTGGGGCGATGGTGCAGAGCTGCGGTGGTGGCGGGGCTGTGGCGAGGCAGGCGGGGCCGGCCTGCAGGCCCCAGCCGGCAGCGAGGGGAGGGGAGCTGCTTACCCCCGCGGGGCCCAGGGGAGCACCCCTGCGTGGGAGGGCAAGCAACGGCCGCGGGCACTACCGGCTAGTGCCTGCCTCCTCACCCGCCCGCTTGAAGCCAGCCCCAGTGCCCTGTCCTGCCCTGCCCCACAGCAAGGCGGCGCCTGCTCGCTCCCCTGGCCAGTCTCCCCCCGGGTGCTGCGGCTCTCCCAGCCTGGTCGCCCGCATGCGAGGCCCCGAGGGGGCTGCTTCTCATGTGCTGCTGGGGACAGGAGGAGGAGCCCAGCCGGGTCTGCACCGGCCAGCAGAAGTGGCAGCGGAACCATGTGCAGCTCAGAACGGTATGAGCCTGCACCGGTCAGTCCCGAGCGGCACATGGCTCTGCCGCCGCTTCTGCTGGCCGGTGCAGACCTGGCCAGCCTCCTTCCGTCCCCAGCAGCCCATGGAAAGCCAGCTTCAGCTGCATGCTGCTTTTCCTGGCCGATGACAACCCAGTTCTTCCCAGAAGGGTCCTGCAACACCATGTCAACCTGGGCATGGCACCAGCAGGCCGGACGGGCCCCAGCTTAACCCCCGCCTGGCCCCGCAGCTTCTCCAGCACCAGGTCAACCTGGTTGTAGCCAAGCAGCTTCTGCAGCACCATGTCAACCCGGGCATGCATGCCATGTCAACCAGCACCATGTCAACCCCTTTAACTTCATTGGTGTCAAAGGTCACGTGACATGACTTCTTGATATGATATCACTTCCTGTGATGTCTTTGAATATGGCTCGCCGGCCCACTGGGTGATAAAAAGTTCGTGATCCGGCCCCACATTCAAAAAGGTTGGACACCCCTGGCTTAGAGCATGTGTTAGCCATGTAAAAAAAATGTAAAGGTATTTGTATTAGCTACATGTAAAGTAAGGGCAAGTTCAACAATTAAACTGCTATTGCTTATGAAAATAGTATATATCAGTGGTTCTTAATCTTTTTTAAACTCAAAGCAACCTTTGATAGACTAAAGGATCCCCTTGGAAAATACTACCTCTTGGTTTTCACTCTATTTTTGAACACAGAAAAATAATAGATGAAGTCTTCTGTTGCAAAGAACTCAGGAAATCCACAACAGGAAAGAATCTTTTTAACACTACGGATTCCTATTTCAAATCTCTGGGTTTATCTTGTGAATCATGTTTGTATACCAAACAGTGCTAACATTTCATGACTACCCACAGCACCCTAGTTAAGAAACACTGACCTACACACTTGCCCTGCAGTTCCTCTCTATAAATGCTACTTCTACCAGGCTCATATCCTGTAATTCCTTGCACTAGTTTCACAATTTTTTTATTGTTGTTGTTATTTTTTTATTTATTTATTTATTTTTTTTTTTACAGAGTATCAAGTTAAAAATAGCTGTCTAATTCCATTCAAAATCTAAACCACCAAATCCTAAAATGACCTTTGATTATAAAGTCACAGAAACAATCTTTAAATAACATTCTACACGAGTTGCACAGAAAACTTCGCATTTAACTGCTTAGCCCCTGAACATTTAAATGTGTTCATTCTTGGTCTTAGCCCTCTTTTTCACAATTAATTTAAGCACCAGTTAAACATTACCATCAGATTTTGTTTAATAATACTCTAAACTTCAGAGTGAACTTGTAAGCACATTTAACTGCAATTCTGAAGGCATATTAGGAGTGATGAAATTTAGCTTTTTAATTGAAAAAAGAAAAAAAAAAATCTACAAGCAAACTCACAAGCTGTTTCACCAGGAAGAAGCCTTTCAGGGCCACAAATAGCTACCATATTAAATTATGTAGGAAAAATCCACAGGACTTGGATTGTATTGCTGTTATGCAATAACAAAGATGCGTGTGTGCCAACAAAGTATTTTTAGATTATTTTATCTCCATTTCCTGCCTCCTACATTACCTGTGACATCTTGAATGGTTGTTTGTAGCTTCATATGGTTCTTCTACCTCATATACATGTATTCCATGGTATTCTACACTGCTGGAGTTCTGCCATTCAAAACATGGACTTTTAGCATAACCTGCAGCAAAAGGTAGGTTCTCATACTCTGGGATATCTTCATAGTGAGGCACATTTCCATGTTCTGGTGCACAACTGCTTGGCGGATAATTCAAGCATGTTTGCGATAACTGCTCCACAGATAATATTTGTTCATCTAAAGACGCTGTCCTTTGACTACTTGATGTCTCATGCTGACTCCTGTGTCTATGTCTTTTCTTTTGTGATACTGGGCTGCCCGTTTCTACAGAATGTGCCTTAGCAGATTTAGTTTTCCTTTCATTTGCTGTGAATGCTACATTCTGGCTGTTTCCAACCCTGTTCCCTTCCCCCATAGAAAGGCTGGATATAGCACCATCCAGGGACTGACTTCCTTTGGACAAAAATTTATGGAAGTCACTTTTCATAATGCAAACTGACAGTTTCATATTGAGAAACTTCTTCAGAGAATTTTTCTTCTGAGGGTCTTTGGAAGGCTTATGTATTCTATCCATATCCACAGAGGACAGAGATTTGGCTCTGGGCTTGGTCACAGCAGTTGGAAGTTCGTAGCTTGTGGCAATATTGGCCATTTTTAATGACTCTGGATTGCCTGAAAAAGGCAGAATAGGACGAGGTAATTTCCAGACCGGTTTCTCTGAAGCACGTTTGGGTACATCACAGGAAGATGACAGGTCTTGTTCTTTGGCTGATGTGTGCCTTATGCGAGCTCCTTCTAGAACACTTCCAGATTTTTTGTCTTCACTAGAAACGTAAGAACTTTTCTCAATAAGCTCCTCTGACGCAGCTTTCTTCAGCAGTCCAGCAGCGGGTATACTGTGTCTTTGTGGCTTTTTTGGAGCAATCCTTGGTGAACTTTCATCTTTTACATTAATCTCTTTATCTCCTGTTTTGTGTGCATAAATATCAAGGCTATTGGAGGCTGGGAAGTGTTGATTGCAAGCCAATTTGAGTTGCTTAGGCAAACTCATGGACAGGGTATTAGCCCTTATAAAATTAGTCCTTTTATCCACAGCAGCCAGCATACTAGCATCATCTGTTATTTTATCTGCAGGATTTATTAAATTAAGGTCTTCGTCTAAGGAATGTCCAACATTTTCTACCAGGTTAGAAATTTCATGCAGAACCTGAGGAACAAGATTTTGTGAAGCTAACTCTTCAGTGTCAGTAGGTTCCTTCCCTGGATGCACTCTCTCAGATTTATCAGCCTGATGCACATTTTCCAGATGATCATTATATGAAACACTCTGACTAATAACATTTATTTTTGCAGTTTTCTTAAAGTTGTGTTCAGGAGGGCCAAAGGAATTACCCTCTGAACATACTGGTTCTCTCGTTGCTTCTCCTATCGCATCTATGCCATCCTGACGTACAAGACATGCAGCCCGTGTTTTTCTTGGTTTTGGAACTGGAAGCACTTTTAAGCTAGGCGTCGAACATATTTCTGGGGAAGATGCATGTTTATCACCATCTGTTTTCATACCAACTCCACCCGAAACTGCGATATTACTATTTACTTTGACATTCTCCAGGTTTTCTTGGTCCACCGGGCAAGAGAAATTGTAGTTGTTTTGAGTCAAATGAGTACAGGTTTCAGTCATTTGAAACTCATCAGCAGCTATCTTATTGTGGTTATTTTGTTGTTTACCTGTGGCTTCTTCAAACACAGAAGATTGTACAAGATCTGTAAACTCTATTTTAACTTCACTGTTATTACCCCTTTCAAGTTTATCTGTACACCTGTGCCTCAAAGGACTGCTATTAGGAAATACACTTTGTGTCAAAACATCTTTAAGTTTCTCTTCCAGGAAATTGGCCTTTAAAACTACATGATTTCTATTTGCCAGTTTTTCACTCTGTGCCCTGTTTCTCATAGGTGATGCATTTTGTTCACCCAGTTTGATGTTCTCTAAATTTTCAAAGTGTTCAAATGTTATCTGAGTTTTACATGTACTCTCACCATTCCCAAGCTTATGAAGGCATTCAAAATTGCATGAAGACACTGGTATGATGTAAGTAGTATTCCTGGTATCTTCTCCTGGGGCTCCATTCTTATAGTTTAGGTGATCTAGAGTTTCAGAAGAATCTCCTTTGTGCTCTTCTAAGCTTTTGGTGCTTTTTCTTAAAGATGATGGAGGCCTCACTTCTGGAATGGACGAGCTCTTGAGAACCTTCGGTTTTGGCGCTATCACTGGTTTTGTTTTCCTTGTTGTTTGCATAACACCAGAAAGCCCAATATCTGGCTTAGGGGCAACAGGGGGAGGAGGTGTTGCTTTGTGTCCTAGCACAAATTTTGGTTTTGGGGCCACTGGTGGCTTCTTGATTTCTAGAAGAGACAAAAAACAAAGATTAAATCACAGGAGGCCCGCAAAAAGAAAATCTAATCTTGCATCACCACACTGTGCAGGAGGTTACTAAAATAATTTCCCACTATATCCAAGACTCTTAGCAGTCTTGATGTATAAAAGGCAATTTATGTAAGGCAATTGCAATGCTTCTCATTTAGCAGCATATTCTCTACACACCACATCACTTAATCGTCCCTATTATTTAGCATGTATCACCATGTGGAGGCTTGGAGTCCTCTACCACATGGAGGCCTGGAGTATTCCTTATACATTTTTAAGGGAAGTCTCAGATAGTTTGATCCAGTGTGGCCTCTACACAGATTTTGGGGCCAAGGAAATTGCAATATTTTTACAGAAATATGTGCTCCTTAATTTTTGAATGACTAAGTATAATCTCTACCTCTACTCCAGAAAAGCGAGGAGTATGACTAAGTGCTAGGAGACAGACAACTTATACAGACTCACTCAGATGCAAGGATTTCTATAAAGCTTGGCTGCTGATCTGAGAGAAACAGAAGCAACATCTCTGCAACAGAAAGTTAAGTTTTTCCTGGACAGTGAATCACTAGTCTAAATGAAGATTGACTCCATTCAACCCCAGAAAACAATACTTCTTCCCACAACAAGTAATTTAATTAGTTTCACAAGCAAGGCTCAGTAGGCAAGTCAGATACCGAGCAAACTCAGGGAAGGCACAGAGGAGATAACCTAAGGAATTTCTAGGGGAGTGTACAAGGTTCAGAAGGTACAGCTCAATGTACCCAGGCCATCATCCAGAAATAGAACAGCCACCATGATTTAGAAGGGATGTGTTATGTTCCTTCTCCTGCGTGAAGACAGAAACTTCCAGTACATAAAGTGCAAGTTGAAGACTGTATTGGACAAAAGGATACAAGGTCTGAAAAAGGCGGTTTGGAACCCAATGTAGCAGCAGAGTTCTTCAGCAATGAGATTTTGGCATCAGCATTTTGGATCCAGATGGAGAATTAACTGACTTTAAGAGAGCAAGAGTGGAAGAGACAGAAGTGGAACCATGTATCAAAGCATAGAGAAGCAGGAAACATTCTACACCACTGAAAACAAAACATCCTGTGACCACAGAAATTTACTTTCTTTGATATGGCTGCTGCAAAACCTATTGGAAAACCTAATAGAAAGAAATGTGTGCTAAGGGACATACTCAAGGTTGGATATTCAGCCAAACCCTTGAGAAGGTCAAGCACAAACAAACTGAAAGAGACCATCTTCACCAGGGACTCCTCATAAAAGAGCACATTAAGAAAGCATTCTATAGGGGACAAAGTAATACCAAGACTGAGTGTGGCTGTTCTGGAGCAACGGCAACATGTGGCTGACAGACTGGTTACAAGTAAAAGGATTGTAGACAAGCATCCACTGCATATGTTACATATAGGCTTAAGTTATACTGCCTGAGAAGATATTTCAGAAGATTGCCAAAAGCTGAAGGGGTCTTAAAGAAAGGAAAGAACTTTTGGTCATCTCAGGAATCATGCCTGTGCCTAGAATGAGATGCGAACAGCACAAGATACTGAAGCTAAACTAATTTACTTTGTTAAAGAGTTTTGGTTAGGGAAAGGAAGATATACAGCTTGGATCATTTCCACCCCAACAGTAGGAAAACCAACATTCTGTGTAGCAGATGACCTACAGCAGCCTGAAGGAATTTAAACAAGCATCAACAAAGGAGGATGCCAAGGGAGTAGAACATAATATGTAAGCTCAAACATAAAACACAAGGCTTGAGGTAGAACAAATGTAAAAAAAGAATGTGAATAAAATAATTTTGGAAGCTTAAAATACCACTGCTGTAAGTATTAGTAAAGAACAAAATTAAACATAAAATGACAAATACACACAAACCTATTGGGAATGATGCATATCACTGAAATGTCAAAGTAGCTGGATACAACTATATGGGAAAGAATGGGAAGAGGAGACAGGTAAGATGCACTGTACATTGAGCAACCTACCTGTTTTAAAATTAGTACCTATGGGGGGGGGGGGGGGGGGGGGGGGGGGGGGGGGGGGCA